ATTTACATAAAAATAAGAAGTAAGAACATCAATTCTGGTTTTGTTGGTGTTCAATTTTTTTGTTTCTATAGCTGTAGATAATAAAAATAATATTCCTATATTTGTTTCCATATATTTAAATATCATTATAATTAAAAATCATTTTACATATAAGCCTTGTGACCTGGGACAGGTGTATTAGTTATATATTGCTGAGTAACGAATGATCCCAAAACTTCATGGCTTTAAACAACAAACACTGAAGCCAGGTTCAGTGTCTCACACCTGTAGTCCCAGCAACTTGGGAGGCTGAGGCAGGAGAATTGCTTCAGCCTGGGAGTTCCAGGCTGTGATGCACTATGATTGTGTCTGAGAATGGCCACTGCACTCCAGCCTGGGCAACATAGCAAGACCCTGTCTCTAAAAATAAAGATAAAAATAAAAACAGTACATATTCATTATCTCACAGTTTCTGTGTGTCAGTTCAGCTGAGTCCTCTAGTTCAAAGTGTGACAGGTACAATCACTTATGAGCCAGGGTTGCAATCATCACAAGGCTTGGCTGAGAGAATCCACTTCCAAACTCACTCACTGTTGGCAAGCCTGGGGTTCTCACTGGCTGTTGGCCACAGACATCAGTTCCTTGCCATGTGGACCTTTTTGCAGAGCTACTCCCAACATGGTGCTGGCTTCATCCACAGAGAGGGCTCAGAGAATGTTATAGACTGAATACTTGTGTCCCCTCAAAATTCACATATTGAAACTGTAATCCCTAATGTGATGGTATTAGCAGGCAGGGTCTTTGGGAGGTAATCAGGATTAGAGGAGGTTCTAAGGGGGGAGCCCTCATGAAGAGGATTGGTATCCTTAGAAGAATCCTGAGGGAGCTTCCTTCCTATCTCTGCTATGTGAGGACACAGTGAGAAGGCTGCCGTCTATGAACTAGGAAGCAAGCCATCGCTAGACACCTGTGGCACCTTGACCTTGGTCTCCCCATCCTCCACAACTGTTAGAAATAAATGTTTGTTATTTAAGCCACCTAGTTTATGATATTTTATTATAATAGCTCAAGTTAAGACAGCGAGCGAAAGGAACGCAGGGACAGTAAGACAGAATTCATAGTCTTTTTTAACCTAATCTCGGAAGTGACATTCTATCACTTTGACCATATTCTGTTCACTTAAAGCAGGATCAGCCCTCATTCACAGGAAAGGTGTTACATATCGGGCAACACCAGGAGGAGGGATCCTGGGAGCCTTCTTAATGACGACTTCCTACAACTCTCTTGACCTCTCTGTACCTCAGTTGTGTCATCTATAAAGATCTACCCTATAAAAGACATTGTGAGAATTAAAAGAATTAAAATATGTAAAGTACTTAGAACACTCCCTGGAACAGGGTGAGCACTAATTAGCTAAATGTGGATACAAAAATAATGCAAATACATAGAACTACTCTTAGTACACAGTACTAAGTCTGTGGTGGTTGTTCAAAAAATGCTTGAATTAGGAGTACTTGAGTATAGGAGTTTGAGGCCAGCCTTGGCAACATAGTGAGACCCCTTCTCTACAAAAATTAAAAAACTAGCAGGGCATGATGGCACGTGCCTGTCGTCCCAGCTACTCAGGAGGATCCTTTGAGCCTGGGAGGTCGAGGCTGCAGTCAGCCATGATCCAGCCACTGCATTAAGCCTAGAAGACAGAGTGAGACTCTGTCTCAAAAAAAAAAAAAAAAAGACTTGAATTAGGAGATCTACAATTATTCAAAACAAGTTTGAGTATTTGGAAATTACCCCAGAAACAGATAAAGTTGAAAGTTCCTACTTTAATTACCAGGGGGCCTTACATCACCTCCAGATTCCCCACAAGCCTCCCCTGATGAGGAATTTCCATGCAGCAAGCTCCAATGCATACCTGAGTCATCTCCAAAAAGTCAACCACAATTTGCTCTGCAAATGCACACCATTTGCCTAATGGCAGAAGTTGCCTTATTTGCAAAACCACACAATTTGTAAGTTACAGAAGAAAGGGCAAGAGCTTGTCTGCCTAGCTGGAGCACTTCTCATTGAGCTCAGCAGTTTAGTGAGATTAGGAACTCACCTGTGAGGTGTTTTTTTTTTAAGACACCCTGCTATTTTAAGGAAAGAAAAGGCTACTCAGTACACCCCCAGTCTTTCAAGCTTAGCACAGAGCAGATGGGTTAAGGAGAGGTGTCCTGCTTGACATATACAATCTGGGACTCAGTAGGTGGGTGAATGAGGCCAACCTCTCATACAGCAGATGTGGTAAATGAGTCATTAATCAGGAGATAACAAAAGGCTGGACCCTGCTCCCCCAGACCACAAAGTCACTCACTAAACAGGCCCAGAAGCAGCAGCGACGCTCCCAAGGGTAAATAAACCTCGCAACAACTCAATTCAGCATACATTTTGAGTACACACTAAACGCAACCTCTGAGCTCACTGCCCTCTGGAAGAGGAGGCTCTAGCTCACAGTGCCTGCTGTGCAAAGGTCACCTTTCTTTGTTTCAAAAGTCGCCAAGAAAGGAGGAAGAAGAAAGGCGACTGGGAAGACCAGCCTGGTCACTTATGTGGCCCACATAGCAGACCTATCCACTCTCCCCCTGCCTACCTTCAGCAACTGCCCAGAGTTTTTGGTTTCAGTTTTGTTTTTTAATTACCCTGGTTGACTTAATCAGGTGTGCAAAGATGTGAAGAAGGAAGAAAAGAAGAAATTTCTCTATACCAGGGGAGGCATCTGCCAGGGTAAGAGTGGATGGGTTCGTTGTATTTTTAGAAAAATAAACCAAATTCTCTCTGCAGAGAATTGCTTTTCCTGTTCTTTGTTTCAACACCTCCCAAACCAAATTGCTTTCTGAATCACCAGGTCCTATCTAGCTGGAATACTTAAAGCTCATGTCAACCGGGCAAGCGTGAGGACTCCAGTCTCCTAATGAGAGCTAGTAAGAAGCCGTGGGAATGGGGATCATCACACCGAGAGGCTGGAAGTGGAAAGAAAGAAAATGCATTCCAGTAATAAATTCCAAATGCTTTGATTTTAAACTAAGAATGAAAAATATTACATTTTCTCCAATAACAGTAAAACTGTAGGTGATTTTTGTGTCATCACTTATGTTTTGTGTCATAAAAAGGTGAAAATGAAATAAATAGAATATGATTTAATTTTTCTCTCTAGACCAGCTAAGGAAAGAGTTTATGTAAAGTTTGCCCACAAAATTCAGTGCTTTATTATAGGCTGAACAACTGTCTTCTGACTCTGTTGAGTGTGCTAATCTTAACTCTTTAACCAGACTATAAGTAGGAGTCAGGCATAATTTAGAGGCATACAGACTAGTAGTTAAGAAGAAGGGCTCCGAGCATGTTCCCACATTCTCAGCTATGTGATCTTGAGCAAAGTAACCTATGTCTCGGTTTCTTCAACTGTAAAATGGAGATAAAAGTAGTATTCATCATATAGAGTTATGATAAATACTTAAAACTGTTCATGCCCAACATACGGTGGGCACTCAATAAACATTAATTATATTATGCTCCCCACCTATCCAAAAACTCAGGTTCAGCCATGTTACTAAAGAGCTTTCAAAAACCTACAAAACCTAGTGTTGTTACTTGTGTGTTCTTAAAAAAACAAACAAAACCCTACAGTGGTTTACCCCATCATTGAGGTAAATGTCTTATTAAGCCAGTTGAGGCTCCGCTTGTGCTAACCCCACACCCCTACGCTCCTGTTATATCCCCTCCAAGTCCCAATGCAATCCCAGAATTCATTCTTTCACTCTGTGCTTTTTAGCTCCTGCTATAATGCCTTCCCACCCCTGTGGTATCTGAAATCCTTCCTCTCCCATGAGTGTTTAATTATTGGGCCTTGCTCTCTTACTAGAATGTAAACTGTATGAGAACCATTCCCAGAGCTCCAATAGTAGCTGATACGTGATAAATGCTCAGGAAACATTTACTGAACGATTGAATATCTACAACTATTAAGTTTTTTCAAGATTTATACCAAATTCCATCAATTCCATGCATGCAGTCATTCTATAGAAGCCCTTTGTAAGATTAAACTTTATTTCTTCTGGGCTCTAACGCCGTATTTCTTGGACAAATTGTATTCATTCATATTAAACATCCACTAATATTTTAAAAAGATAACAGCTAATGTTTAAACAGTGCTTATGATGAGCGAGGTTGTTTTAAAAGCTTGAAACATATTAAACTCATTTACTCCTCACTGCCCCACCTATAAGATAGGTATTGTTTTTATTCCACTTTTACAGTTGGAGGGAACCATTTTTCACTCAGTCCTAATAGTTGGTCCTTACCTCTGTGTCTCCTACAAATATCCGATTTCCACCTAGGGTAACCCTTTCCCCAATTCTGGAATCTTTGGCTCAAGCAAAGTTTGCAGAAAAACAATTTAACTCGGAGCACACAGTTACATTTGGACATGCGGTTCACTCCGGGCTACGGTGCCCTCTCTAGCGCTTCTGCTGGGCGCGCAGGATGGCCTACAGCTCGCAACAAAGACTGGGACTTCGGCCGGCTCTCTACCAAGCGGACGCAGCGCCTTACACTGGAGGCTCACCTACTGTCTTCAGAGACCTCACGACCCAACCCACGTTTCTGGCATTCCTAGATGATCTCAAACTCTTAGCCAACGCTGTCCATGAGCTCCCTCCTCGGCCTGCTATACAAGCCAGGGGCGCTTAATTCAACGAAGCTTCCTCCTGGTCCGCTGGGAAAGGAATAAAGGGGGCTTACCTCCTCCCCACCGCCCCCACTCTTTACTCAACCCCACCGTTAACTGTACAAAACTAGGTCCCGTGCCCGCTGCAGACTCAACTCGAGCCCCTCGCCCTGCTCCCACCCAATGCTTCCCGTCCTGACCCCGAACACAGAACTCGGTTGGCCGCGTCGCCCTCCTCGCCTGCACGCTGGTGACTCAACCCTGAAAAGACAAACCTCTCGGTTTTTTCCGACCAGTGCAGGGGCGCCGGCGCCCCGCCCCTGCCCGCCAGCGTACGGTCCCACCCACCGTCCACGCCCCCGCCCCGCCTGAAGTTGCCCTTCTCGTTTGAGCTGAGGGACGCGTCGGCCAGGCACCCCGGGGTGTGGCTAGAGGACTTCGGCGACGCCTGCCCCGAGAGTGGCCTCCCTCGCCAACCCGGAAAAGACAACCCCGCGGGGCTGCGGCGAGCCAGGCATGCTCACTGGCGCAGGCCCGGCCCGCAGCCCGAGCAGGAAGCGCCGGCGCTAGGCGGCCCCCTGCGCTGCCAGCTGGAGCCGGGCGGAGCCAGCGCCCCGGCGCAGGGTGGCTCTGCCAGTCCCCGCGCGCCTGGGCGGCCGCACACGTGTCCAGGCGTCACGTCCGCGCGCGCCCCCGGGGCTTGCGTCAGCGGCCGCTCCAGAAGCGGGTGGGCCGGGGCTCCTTGCGCACCGCTGGGTTCGGGGCCCGGACGCCGCTGGGAGGAGGGCATCGCGCGGGGTCCGACGCGGAGGCGTGCTTGGAACGCCGGGGGCTGCGGAGTGCATCAGCGCGGTCCAGCCCTCCGCCTGCCGGGGGCCGAGCGTCTCTGCCGCCCAGACCTGGGCTGGGCGCCGTGGCGTTGCCTCGGAGCTCGCTGCCCGCGGGGCGCGCACCGCCTTGACCCGGGCGGCCCCGCGGCAGGCAGGCGCCCGCAGTTCCATGGTTGGTTCGGAGCGCGATGAGCCGCCCGTCCTCCACCGGCCCCAGCGCTAATAAACCCTGCAGCAAGCAGCCGCCGCCGCAGCCCCAGCACACTCCGTCCCCGGCTGCGCCCCCGGCCGCCGCCACCATCTCGGCTGCGGGCCCCGGCTCGTCCGCGGTGCCCGCCGCGGCGGCGGTGATCTCGGGCCCCGGCGGCGGCGGCGGGGCCGGCCCGGTGTCCCCGCAGCACCACGAGCTGACCTCGCTCTTCGAGTGTCCGGTCTGCTTTGACTATGTCCTGCCTCCTATCCTGCAGTGCCAGGCCGGGCACCTGGTGTGTAACCAATGCCGCCAGAAGTTGAGCTGCTGCCCGACGTGCAGGGGCGCCCTGACGCCCAGCATCAGGAACCTGGCTATGGAGAAGGTGGCCTCGGCAGTCCTGTTTCCCTGTAAGGTAAGCCCAGGGACAGCCCGCGTACCTCCGCCGGTGACCTCAGGGACTCCGGTATCCTCCAGCCCACTGGCAGGCCCGGAGAGGCGGGCGGCATCTCTCATTTAAAAAAAAAGAAAAAAGAAAAAATGTTTACACTTCGTCTACCCTCCCTGAAACCCACTTTGGGAGTAGTTCTGGGTTGACATTTACCGAGTAATGGTTAATTGACAGTTAACAGATTAATTGGCATTCGCTGGTCGTCAGAACATCGTAGCTCACCCGGCCCAATGCCCGCGTCCTCTGCAGACATGTATTCGGGTACGCTCGATAGGGCTGGGCCGCACCAGTAAAACTTGGACCGAGAAACTGACTATGTGGGGACTGAGGAGGGAGGAAACGGGCGAGCTAAACGCACCCTTGTCCAGCGCTCGGCTTGGCTGAATTGATACTGGAGTCCTGCACCCCGCGCCTACAGTCTGCGCACCCCTGACACGTGGGAGCTCTCGGGAGTGTAGCTAAAAAAAGGGCGCCTACAGCCTGTTTTCCTCTAGCTAGAAGAAAACCCTGCAAGCCACGCCTTTTTCTCTCCTAGCCTTCCAAGGACTGGGAAGGACTGAGGAGTTGTGGCTGCGTTTTTGTACTAAGTGGGGTGAAAACAGTCAATCAAGAAATTAACAAGGGCACTCAAGAGCTGTTGTTACAGTTGTTTAAAGCTCATCAGTTCATTTTTTATTTAATGTAAAAAGTTTTCAATGCCCTTGCGAAAAATGCAAGCCAAGACAATAAGTAAAATGAAAGACCAAGACCTCTCCCCTCCTTTCCCACCATTGTTAGGTTTAGTGTGTATCTTTTTAAACTATATATATATACACCCTCGCAGCTAAATATAGAATCATAGATGTCAGTGTATGTCAGGGAGGTTTTTTAATACCCACACATAGATGTAAGTTTTTCTCCAAAAATGGCATCTGCAACTTGCTGTTTTTAAATTCATATTATCATACATATTTCTCTATGCCTGAAACCTAGTCGACTTCACTGTATTTTAAATGACTGTATAGTATTGCATTGTGTGGTCATATTATAACATTTGTTTACCTTCAGGAGCAGTTTCACAGACATACTTGTCTGCATTACTTCATTATGACCTAGAACTATACTGTAAAGTTCATTTTCTGAAATTAGAAGTGGAAATATTGCCATTAATACTTTCCAGTTTTTTTGTAAAAGTAACTTGCTTTGCCTCTTGGGCGCCTTAGGCTGTCTTGTATTTCTCCTTGGTGCTGCTTATTTTATAGGACAAGAGCTCATTTTTAAATTAAAAATAATCCACCAGAGAATTCAGGCGTGGGACTCAGGTCAGTAAAATGAGTGCTTTAATTTGGTCTGCTGCCCTGCTGCAAATGAGGTTTAAAATAGCATATTTAAATAAGGGTTTGAATCAGTGTTTGGACTAGGGTGTTTCAGGCAACCTTAATAAATTGCTTTTAACCCCTCCTCATACAATGCTTACTAATTCACTCAGCCCAGTTTCTCAAAATTTAGATGAAGTATTTGCATAGTTGTCTTAGAGTTGTGAAAAAGGAGACAAAGGTTTGGTGGTAGTTAACATAGAGTGGCTATTTGATGTTTGAGATATATTGCAGGGGTGGGGGATGCCCCACAGGATTTCTGGGGAGCCATTTTCTCACCCCTTTACTTTCCCTTAAACCCGCAGTGGCTAACAAAAGACATGGCTTTTAGGTGAGTTTTAGTTCACAAATGAGCATTTGATATTAGTCAGTAATCCATAATTTGTTTTTAAAATGTAACCTTAGAATTGTGTTGTTCCCAAGAGAAAGGGAAGGAAACAGTTATGCTATATGGAGCATGAAGTTTCACTTTCAGGATCTAGAACTCTGGTTCCTGTGAAAGCATATGTTCTTTCCTAACGTGAAACAGGCTAGTGAAATCAACCTTGAAGAGTAGTTCTGGGAATCGGGGGTTCTCAGCCTTTCTGTACATGTCAGTGATTTTCTGAGTCTCTATTCCATAAGAATGCAGTTGGGCAAAGCCATTACTTTGCAAGCTGAAATTTAAAAGGGACAACTATTCCCCTAAAGACCAGGAACCAAGCTTGGAATGTGATCTTGGGGATGCTTTTGTGTGTGCATGTGTGTGAGTTACATAAAGCCGGAGTGTGCATGCCTCACCTTTGGTTGATCAATAATCCAAATTATTGGCAGGGCAGCTCAGCCAGTTAGTCTGGATGAACCAAACTTGAATGTATACATAGGCCCAGCGACCAACCAAGATGTGCTATAGAGGATGAGAAACAACAGGGAGTAGTCGTAAGGCCTGTATCAAACTTAAAACAAGGTAGGTCTGTTTACCTAGCCCTTCGGCCTACAGTTTGAGGCTCCTAGAAATTATGGGACTGCCTTTTCACTGTGCCCACCTGCTCTCAGAATCTCTCATGGGCTGGCTCATGTGAAAAAAACCAACGTTGAATAAAGTAACAGAGTCCACATCTCAAGAGCTGCCTGGCATTGCCACTGTTTGCCTGAAAGACCACCTCCCAGGGCCTTGATTTCCTCATCTATATAAATGAGAGATGAGTCCGCTTGACTTCTGAGCACCTGTAGCTTCTAGCATTCCATGAAAAGAAGGGAAGCTATCTGGAATGTTATTGGATGCCCTCTATCTGCCAGCTACTTCACAGGGGTCAGCTTTTACTAGTTTGCCTTTTTTTTTTTTTTTTTCCCAGATGAGGAAACTCATGCCTACAGAGTGGTTAAATGTGAAGTGACTTGTCAAATCACACAGCTAGTAAGAGGACCAGTCCAAGCACCTGCATCTCAAAGGCACAGATGTTTTGTCCTACACCTTACTGCTTAGGGATTTCGAATCTGAGTATATACTCAAGATTCTGAATCATAACTCAAGGTTGACACCAGTAACAAAACCATCTGGTTGGATGAGTTCACCAGATGGGCCTCTTATGGGACCATCCCAAAATGACAACATACATACTCACTATGAAATTCATTGGCAGGAATTTTGTAGGCCATGTAGGGTAGGAAGATGGGGGGTGGGGGAAACCTACAAACCTAGTATTTTGTGGGATATCATCACAGCTCTGGACTGCCTCAGTTGGCCAAAAAATGGATGTATTGCCAAATAACTATCCTACTTAGGTGTAGGGTAATTAATTAAAGGTTAGAGTGTTGCCAGCACCTTTGATATGGGGAGCTAGGTGCATTATTAGCTCAGATCTTTGGGTGTGGTGGCTCATGCCTGTAATCCCAGCACTTTGGGAGGCAGAGGTGAGCAGATCACCTGAGGTCAGGAATTCGAGACCAGCCTGGACAACATAGTGAAACTCTTTCTCTACTAAAAATACAAAAATTAGGGCCAGGCTCAGTGGCTCACACCTATAATCCCAGCACTTTGGGAGGCTGAGGCGGGCAGATCACCTGAGGTCAGGAGTTTGAGACCAGCCTGACCAACATGAAGAAACCCGGTTTCTACTAAAAGTACAAAAAAGTTAGCTGGGCATGGTGGTGCATGCCTGTAATGTCAGTTACTCAGGAGGCTGAGGCAGGAGAATCACTTGAACCGGGAAGGCAGAGGTTGCAGTAAGCCGAGATCACGCCATTGCACTCCAACCTGGGCAACAAGAGTGAAACTCGGTCTCATTTAAAAAAATAAAATAAAAATTAGCTGAGCGTGGTGGCAGGCACCTGTAATCCCGGCTACCTGAGAGGCTGAGGCAGGAGAATTGCTTGAACCTGGGAGGTAGAGGTTGCAGTGAGCTGAGATTGTGCCACTGCATTCCAGCCTGGGTGACAGAGCAAGACTCCATCTCAAAAAAAAAAAAAAAAAAAAATGGAATGTCTAATTGTCTATGGCTTTCTTCCACTTGGGGTCTTTTTTAGTTCATTCTATGGCTTTTTCCATGCCTGAGAACTTTTGACATCCTGTGCCCAGACTTAAAGTCACCCCTTCAGTGTGTGGGTTAGGGGGAGAAGTGAAGGTTGACACATTCATGTGAACAACATAGTCTCCTTTACCATCCAACTGTGCATTTTGCTCTCAGACAAGTATTTCTGTCCACAACTGTGAGCAATGCTAATCCACTCCAGCCTTCTTACACTGTGGTAATACCCTTTCTTTGTCCTCTCTGAAAGTTTCTAGTAGCATGTCTCCAAATAATTACTGAATTTGAAAGCCTCAGCCAGACAAGTCTTCTCTGTGGTTGAATTGTGACAATATCTGTGTTCCTTAAAAAAAAATAAAAAATAACATAAAACCAAGTAAGGTTAGACAAAACAGTTGAAAGTTTAAAAGCCCTTGGCCTCATCTAGTTCAGTGGAGACAAACTTTCTAAATGGGAGCAGGGCCACGTAATGCAGAGGAGAGAAGCATTTGATGCATGCATGGCCTCGGGTCAGGGAGACCTGGAGGAGCAGTGGAGATAGTGGAGAGCCACAGAACAGGTGCCACCTCCCAAGAGGCAGCCTTTACTCAGCTCTGGCTGATTGGTGAGGGTGGGGATATGGGTGCAGGCATATCAGACCTTTAGATTTTTTCAAGAAAAACCAGAAATCTGGATTTTTTTTTTTTTTTTTTTCCTTTCAGAGATGTCATCTCACTATGTTGCCCAGGCTGGTCTTGAACTCCTGAGCTCAAGCAATCCTCCCATCTCGGCCTCCCAAAGTGCTGGAATTACAAGTGTGAGCCACTGTGCCCAGCCTGGACTTTTTTTTTTTTTTTTTAATGTTAAATATCTCGATTTTTTTTCTAGCGTTGGCTGACTTCACATGTATAGCCACTGCTTGCAGACCAAGCCGACCATGTCTCCAGGCCAAATTCCAGCTGCCAGCATGCAGCCTCTGATCTGATTCTCTTCTAGAAGCATTCCTTGAGCCTGGAAGTTCTCATTTAACTCTTGCCATACATGAACTTTTGAACTCTGTTAGGCCCTAACTGTTGGTGATTTTGTAGCTTGTTTTCTTTTCATTTTTATTTTGCCAAGAAAA